CAGTCGGGGCGTTGACCCAAGGAACCCTAAATAAGGAACGAGGCCCCTTCTATCCACAAGTTCAACTTCGATTTACCTTCGAAAACCTAAGGAAAGCCCAAGGCAAACTGTGAAGCAATCAAGGAACACCGAGCCCCTCCCCAACGCAAAGGGTTCCTTCTTCAGTTACCCATCGGTCGCAAGAAGTAGGTATAACCATGAAGTAGGAGGAGGAGGAGGAGGAGGAGGAGGAGGAGGAGGAGGAGGAGTACGAGGAAGGAGGAGGAGGGAGGAGGAGGGAGGAGGAGAGGAGGAGAAACTGAGGAGGAGGAGTAGAAGGAGGAGGGGGCGGAGAGGAGAAAGGAGAGGAAGGAGAGGAGGAGGGGAAAAAAAAGGAGAGGCGGAGGAGAGGAGGAGGAGGGGAGAGGAGTTCGGAGGGAGGAGGAGTGGAGGCCAAGGACACCCCGGCGCCGACGGCGCCCCCCGAACAGCCCAAAGAGGGCCCCGCGGCGGCCCGACATGGCCCCAGGGCGGCCCCAGATGCCCCTCGAGGGGGCCCGGAAAGGCACAAGAGGAACCTTCGACGGAACCGACGAAGCCCACGTGGTGGTTGTATATGAGATAAATGAATGATTGATGAATGATGATGAGATGATGAGAGGATGATGATGATGCTGATGATGATGATGATGATGATGATGATGATGATAATGATGATGATGATGATGATGATGATGATGATGATGATGATGATGATGATGATGATGATGATGATGATGATGATGATGATGATGATGAGGATGAGGATGAGGATGAGGATGATGATGATGATGATGATGATGATGAGGATGATGACGATTATCATGGTGAGGATGGTGATAATGATGCTGATAACGACGAAGACGAAGAACACGACGACGACGAGGAGGATGATTCGACGTCACTTACTTCCCTAATGTGTTCTGAATGATGCTCCCGTTCTCGCCGTTTCGAGGCTTTCGTCAGCTCAAGGCGCCCTACAGCTCCTCCACGATGGCCCCAAGATGGCCCAAGAGATCCCCAGGAGGGCCCCAAACTGGTCCACGACCAACGCTGGGGTAACGGCGATGGCCCGGCGATGTTGCTAAAATGTGATGTTGGGAACCAAGTTGTGGGAACTCACGGACCACACTTTCCGACATTCCCTAGCTGCGAATGGATCGAGGTAACACGGCACAGCGACTTGTAGAAAAGAGCGAACCACGCGTTTCCACACTACCGAAACCTACATCGCCGTTAACTACATCGCCGTAAACCCACCTTGGGCAGGAGGCCCCACGTTGGCCCAACTGTGAAGTCATCCAGCAATTCTTTCGTTTCGTTCGCTGGTCGCCCTTTCTCCCAAAAGGCCCTCAAGAAGCCCCCAAGGCTTGCCCAGGACGTCCCGACAGAGCCCCTACATAGGCTTCTTCCCCTTGCCTTCATGATCTCTTCCTCCTCCTCCTCCTTCCTCCGCGTCCTCATCCTGCTGCTCATCTTGCTCCCCCTCATCACCATCCTTGTCCTTGTCCTCCTCCTCCTCCTCCTCCTCCTCCTCCAATCCTCCTCCTCCTCCTCCTTCCTCTTCCTCCTCCTTCCTCCTCCCTTTTTCCTCCTTCCTTCTTCCTCCGTCGTCCGTCCGTCCGTCCGTCCGTCCGTCGGTCCGTCCGTCCGTCCGTCCGTCCGTCCGTCCGTCCGTCCGTCCGTCCGTCCGTCCGTCCTCCTCCTCCTCCTCCTCCTCCTCCGTCCCCTATATACATATATATAGATACACAAATGCATGTGGCACGTGCGTGCCTACATACATACATGCATACCGCAGCGAGACCCCACCCATACGTCGCAGCCTGAGCGCACGCATCGCGCGCGCCACCCAAACCGAAATACAGACGGATGGCGGTGTGATGTCTCATCCTCGCCGCCCTCCTCCGCGTGTATATATGTACCATCCATATCAACCACCGTCCCCTGACACGAAGCGGATGCCCCAAGGCTCACAACTGTGCCGCTGCTGCAGCCAAGACTGTACTGTGTTAAAAACCCGTACACTCGGTGGCCCCGGCCTTTCCAGGGTATCCAGGGGTGTTGCCCGTGAGTTCTGGGGTGTTTCTTGCCAATCCTTTGGACGCTGTGCCCGCCCGGAACGACCTCCCCAACACCCCGATATGTGAGAGAGCGTGATCCACCGCCGCTTTACTGTGGAAAATTGCCTACCTTTTCCTCCGGAACCCGGGGGTCGCCCCCCCCCCCCTCCGAAAATCCCCCCCCCCTGCTGGAACCCCTCCCCCCCCCCCACCCCTTCCCCCGGCAAAACCCCCCCCCTCCCCTAACCCCCCCCCCCTCCTCGAGCTCGAAAACCGATGGGGTCACAACCGTCGAACCCTCCCCCCCCCCCCCCCCCCTCTTCGATTCCCGAAACCGGGAGGGTCACTACCGTTCGAACCCCCCCCCCCACACCCCCCCCCCCCCCCACACGCACCGCCAGCAAACGACTCCCGGTCCCTACCACCGTCCGCATCACATCCCCCACTGTTGTTCCCAGCACCACTGTCCTCACCACCGCTGTCCCCACTGGTTCCACCACCGCCCCTACTGTCCCCACCAGTGGCCCCACCACTGTCGCACTGTCCCCGCTGTCCCCAGAACTGTTCCCACCACGGTTCCACTCTCCCCACTGTCTCCACGGCCCAAACCACTGCCCGACTATCCCCACTGTCCCCACTGTCCCACTGACTCCTCCGCTGTCCCACTGAGCTGTCCCACTGTTCCCACCACTGTCCCCACTGTCCCCACCACTGTCCCCACTGTACATCTGTCCCATTGTCCCACCGCCGTCCTCGCCACCGCCTTCACCACTGTCCCCACCACCACTGTACCCTCCACTGTCCCACTGTTTCCACCTCCCACTGTCCCCACACCACTGTCCCCACCACCACCGTCCCCACCACTGTCCACTGTCCCCACTGTTCCCACCATTGTCCCCACCACTGTCCCCACCACTACCGTCCCCACCACTGTCCCACTGTCCCACTGTCCCCACCACTGTCCCGCTGTCCCCTCACCACTGTCCCACCAACACCGTCCCCACCTCTGTCCGCACCCCCACTCGGTTTTCGAGGGGGGGGTGGGGTTCGAACCGGTAGTGACCCCCCCCCTTTTCATGATGAGCTGGGGGGGGGGGGGAGGGTTCGAACCGGTAGTGACCGCCCCCCAGGTTTTCCGAGGGGGGGGGAGGGGGGGGGGGGGGGGGGGGGGAGGGGTTCGAACCGGTAGTGACCCCCCCCGGTTTTCCGCCAGCAGCTGTAGAACACGCTCTTTCCGATATGTCCAAGAAGGCTCAGGTTCGCCGAAACATCGCCCCAAGACGCCCAAGGTGGTTTCTACGCGGTCCAAGCGGCCTCCATGATGGCCCAAGAGGCACCCGAAATCGCCCTATGACGGCTCAAAAGGCCCCCAGGGAGGTGCTGAGACGGCCCAAAGAGGCCCCCGCGAAAGAGTCAATAAGTAAGCCCGCCCCGAGAATGCCCCAAATGGGATCAGAAGGGGGGAACACGAACATACATCTCGAGCTCTCCGCCCTAGGAGGCCCCCAGGAGGCCCCAAGAGGGTCCCATGCGGTATTCCCACGCGTCGGCGCCTTGTTCTGGCCACCTGGGGCCGCACTTCTTGCTTACGCACCTCCACTGCCCTCCGGCGGTGGCGCCACCTGGCGCGTTCACCTGCGTCGGTACCGCGCAGCGCATCCACCCTTTCGGTTTGATGGGAGGCCGTCATACAATGCGGACACACGTGTCCGATGTGGTTATCCCACCGAGGGCGATCGTGAAGTCTGCCGCAGGTTCCAGACGCTCGTCTTTTAAGATGACCTCATCGATTTTTCCGGCCGGGCAATATGTACCGCTGGGCCGTCCTGGTGTTTCTCGAGCTGTGCCTCCACGCCGGATTCAATGGACTTGGTCTGCTGCGATGGCAACCCCTGCTTCTGCTTGTTCCTCAGGTTGAACCATTCGGCTTTCAGGCGATTCGACCCTTGACTGATTCAGAAGTTCGTGTTGTTGTGTTGCTTGTCCCCGCGGCACCTGAAGCACATGTAGCGGCGCGGGAGCAAAGGGCCCGGGACTCTGTTGATAAACGTCCTCGGGCATTCACCGCCCATGGCCCTAGCAGCGCGCTTGTGCGCGACGATCGACCTATCGCAACGGAGCGATGAATCTCACCATTCCCGTAGGCCGAAAGGAAGGGCGATACGAGCCCGTTCTCTTCTTGACCACTTGCGTCAACTTCACATGGCTGCGTCATCAGAGGCCACGCGTCCTCCTCAGACCTCCTGCCACTCTTCCTCGCCCGACTGCGAGCTCGGCGAGAGGGCGATTCTGCCGGCCTGGCGGCTTGGCACCCGTCCCAGAGGATCGTACGGAACGCTGCCGCGCACTCTCGAGCTCCCGCCGCGGCCATCCGCCCGGCGGCCTGGCTCCCGACCCAGATGGTCATTCGAGGCGATGCCACGCGTTCTCGAGCCTCCTCCGCGGTCCGCCGCCACCTGCACGACAGCGTGGCGGGCACCAGGGAGGACGAACACCTCGCACCGCCGCGGCGCGGCGTCGAGGGCGCTGGCCCAAAGGCCAGCTGCAACGACCAACCGTTGTTCATAAACGGCCGGGCGCCTGCGCCCAAATGGCCACAGACGTCGGGCAAAGAGAAGGCTACACGTTCGTGTGGGCACACGGGGGCAAACGACCGTGCGCGGGGCCCGGGCGAACACAACGCTCCGAAAACGACCATCCCTGCATCCGTGAAACAGTTGCACATGTCAAGCTTCAGGATCACAAGTGGGCTCAAGCGAAACGCCTGGCCCGACTTACCGACGCGCCTCGGGGTGCGAAAGGGAGGTGTTACTAAGCAGGAAAAGGAATGGAGAAGGGAGAGGAGGAGACCAAGCGAACACCGCACGGCCACTGCACAGACATTGAGACACACTGCGAACCCGCCCCCCCCCCGCCGACCTGTGCGAGCTCGCCCACCCGGCAGATCCGCCACTGGTCTCGCTGGGCTGCGCCACCTTCGGGGGACCGAGACGGGCGGAGTGGAAAGAGCAACAGCAGCACGACGACGACGACGACGACAACGACGACGACGACGACGACGACGACGACGACGACGGACGACGACAACGACGACGACGCCGAAGACGACGTTGACGACGACGACGACGACGAACGAAGGCCCTGGCTCGAGCGATTTCTGCCGTTTCTCGCGTGTCGGCGGGGTCGCAAGCCCCCGCACAGCATGCATACAGTCGATGACGGGACATGTTTCGCTTCTCCTTCTTCTTTGCGTCATCGCTAGCCGAAGTTAGTTACCCACGCTGGAGGGCCGAGCGTTCGGTGACGGCACGATCATCATCAGGATGCGTAGGGCTATGGTCAGCTCCGGTCGCACAAGCATGCCACACCAAATACCTCGGACCGCCAAATACCCAGATCGCCAGAACGTCTGGAACTTCACCGCCAGCATCGTCATTATCATCATAATCGTCATTATCATCATCGTCAACAACAACATCACCATCGTCCGCATCATTGGCAACATCGTCATCATCATCATCATCATCATCATCATCATCATCATCATCATCCTCAATCATAATCATCCTCAATCATCATCAACATCATCGTCATCGTCATTGTCATCGTCATCAACAGCCTAATCAACATTACAAACATCCTAACCATCACCCTCCTCATCATCAACATCACTACCATCATCATCATCATCATCAGCATCATCATCATCATCATTGTCCTCGTCCTCGTCCTCGTCCTCGTCCTCGTCATCGTCGTCGTCGTCGTCATCATCATCATCATCATCATCATCATCATCATGGCCAGCATCGCTGCGCCGTGAGGGTTGGGCACACGCGCGCTGAAACAAGCATGGGTATCGCTAACTCTTGTGATGCAATACTTGTGACCACGCTTCATAATAGCGTTGGTGATGATGGCGCGGGAACCCCAAAGAGTTGATAGGTGCAGCAGTGGCCGTGTGTGTAAAACCCCATGAGAGAAACAGTGAATGCGTTGAGCTCGAAGTGTGCGTGGAATCCTGCGTGGGGGGGTGGGGGGGGATGGGGGGGGTGGGGTGGGGGGGGGAGGGGGGGAGGGGGAGGGGCGGGGGGGGGGTTTTTGTGGGGGGGGGTGGGGGGGGGGGGGGGGGGGACTGGGGGGGGGGGGGGGCGGTGAGGGGGGGGGGGGGGGGTGGGGTGGGGGTGGGAGGGGGGTTGGGGGGGCGTGGGTGGGTGGGTGGGGGGGGGGGGGGGGGGGGGGGGTGGGGGGGGGGGGGGTATGTGGGAGGGGAGGGGGGGGGGGGGGGGGGGGGGTGGGGGGTGGGGGGGGCGTGCGTGTGTGCGCGTGTGTGTGTGTGTGTGCGTGCGTGCGTCGTGCATGCGTGGCGTGCGCGTGCGTGTCGTGCGTGCGCGTGCGCGTGCGTGTCCGTGTGTGTGTTGTAAGTGTATTGTAATTGTAAGTGTAAGTTAAAGAGTAAGTGTTTGTTTAATGTGTAAGGGTAAGTGTGTAAGTGTTAAGTGTGTAAGTTGTAAGTGTGTAAGTGTAGTGTGAAGTGTGTAGTGTGTAATGTGTAAGCGTGTTATAGTGTGTGTGTTGAAGGGTGTGTGTGGAATGTGTGTGTGTGTGGTGTGTGTAAAGTTGCGTGCGTGGGCCTGGCGGTGCGGTGCGCGGCGCGTGCGCGTGCGCGGCGCGTGCGCGGAGCGTGCGCGTAGAGCGTGCGCGTGCGTGTGCCGTGTCTGCGCGTACTGCGCGTCTGCGCGTCTCTGCGTGTCTGCTTGGCTGCGTGTTTTCGACCAACGTGCCTCATCTCGTCTGCAAATTGATAAAACAAAAAACAAAAAAAGAGCAAAAAAAACAAAAAAACAAAAAAGCTAATATAAAAAAATAAAACAACATAAAAAAAAATAATAAACAAAAATCCACAAAAACACACACTAAAAAAAAATAACAAAAGACGAAGGGAAAAAAAAACAAAAAAAAAAAAAAAAAACACAAAAACAAACTAATAAAAAATCATAAATGCCAAAAAGTAACCCAAAAGCTCGCCGAGCAGCCCGGGCCTGCTCGTGCCCGGCACGGAGCACCCGAGCCGGCCAGGCGCGGAGCGCTCGGCCCACCTCGGAGGAGGGCGCCCAAAGGCCACACCCGCCCAAGCGTCCCGGGCCAGAGCCGCAGTGGTCTCGGAGCACCCGTGGGCGAGGGCGACGCCCGAGAGGGAAGGGCGAGAGGGGTAGGGAGGGACTGGACGACGCGCGAGGGGGCTGGAGGGGGAGGGCGAGGACGACGCACGAGGGGGAGAGCGAGGACGACCACTGGGGGGCTGGAAGGGGGGGGGGCGAGGACGACGCACGAGGGGGGCTGGAGGGAGAGGGGGCGAGGACGACGCACGAGGGGGCCGGAGGGGGATGAGTGGAAGGACTCGGCAGTCGGCACTCGGCATGCAGCGTGTGGCGAGTCCCGCACGTCGGGGGCAGGTCCCAAGAGAGAGAGAGAGGAGTGGAGGGGGACGGAGGGGGATGGAGGGCGTAAGGGATGAGGAATGGAGGGGAATGGGTGGGGGATGGAGGGAGGAGGGACTGGAGAGGGATGGAGGGAGGAGGAAGGGAGAAGGCGTTGAGGGGAATGGAGGGGGAAGGAGGGGATGGACGAGAAATAGAGAGGGGGAGGAATGATGGTAGAGGAAGGTGGAGGCGCATAGAGAGGTGGGATGGGGGAGGGAGGGGGAGGGAACGGGAGGGAGGGGAAGGGAAGGGGGCGGGAGGGGGAGGGAAGGGAGGCCCCCAAGGGCAACGCCGCCCGCGCGCCTGCAGGATCTGCCCGTAGCCCTGCGGGAGCCAGTCGCTGGCGAGCCGGTCTTTCACGGCCCGGCGGGCAGCGGCCGGGAGGAGCGGATTCCGCCTCCTCATCATCCCCCTCCTCTTCCTCCACCTCCTTCTCTTCCTCCTCCTCCTTCTCTTCCTCCACCTCCGTCCTCCACCTCCTCCTCCACCTTCCTCCACCTCCTTCTCTTCCTCCTCCTTCTTCTCTTCCTCCACCTCACCACCATCCTCTTCCTCCACCTCCTTCCTCTTCCTCCACCTTCTTCTCTTCCTCCACCTCCACCTGACCGGATTCAGCCTCTTCCTCCACCTCCGTCTCTTCCTCCTTGTCGTCATCGCCATCTTCCAATCCGTATCATTCGTACGAGTCTTCGTATGAACATTCGTATCTGTATTGCTCTGATGCTTATTGCTTATACAATTCGCAATCTTATTGGAATTCTGCGTGGTCTTAGTTTTAATCCGCTGGCCCCCTTGTGGGGCCACCATGCTGTAGGGCAAAAGTTTGCTGCTCCCTGCGCCAGTTCCAGTCTCCAGTTTCCGCTGTTACAGTATTGCTTTATGCTGCTTACTGTTCCTTGTTGTAGACCACGCGAGGGGGGGAGCCGAAAAGCGCTCTGGTTAGCACCTCCTGGGAGGGGTCTCAAAATTTCTCGGGGGGGCGAAATTGACACCTCACGCAGATCTGCGGGGTCAGGGTCCATAAACACCTGGGATTTGCCACATCTCTGAAATTCGGCGGCACCTCTCACGCAGATCGGCGGAGTCAGGGTCGAAAAACCAATGGGAGTTGCCACATCTCTGAAATTCGGCGACACACCTCACGCAGAGCAGCGGAGTCAGAGTCCAAAAACTCATGGGCTTTACCACATTTCTGAAATTCGGTGGCATACCTTACGCAGATCTGCGGGGTCAGGGTTCAAAAACATATGGGATTTGCCACATTTCTGAACATCGGCGGCACCCCCTTACGCAGATCGGCGGAGTCAGGGTCGAAAATCAAATGGGATTTACCACATTTGAAAAATTCGGCAGCACCTTTCACGCAGATCGGCGGAGTCAGGGTCCATAAACACATGGGATGTGCCACATTTCTGAAATTCGGCGGCACCCCTCGCGCAGATCGGCGGATTTAAGGTCGAAAAACCGGTGGGATTTGCCACATTTCTGAAATTCGGCGGCACCCTTCGCGCAGATCGGCGGAGTCAGGGTCGAAAAACCAATGGGAGTTGCCACATTTCTGGAATTCGGCGGCACCCCTCACGCAGATCGGCGGAGTCAGGGTCGAAGAACCAACGGGAGTTGCCACATTTCTAAAATTCGGCGGCACCCCTCACGCAGATCAGCAGGGTCAGGGTCGAACAATCCATTATGGATTTGCCACATGTCCAAAATTCTACGGGAAACCTCAGTGCACAGCATACTGGGGCAGGTTCAAAATACAACACTGACTTCAACAGTATCAACATAATCTCAATATCTCTTGCCGATGCTGCTTCACGGCCGCGCAGAGGCCTCATGATTTAGCTCTTGCGTAGCCCATTATCCGAGAGAGGGGGCCGGCCGCAGGGGGCGAAGCCCTTACGGATAGTATTTGCGTTTCCAGCATTCTTATTCTTCACCAAAAGTATACATTCCCCTCCTCATCTGAATCCACCACGCAGCAATAATGAATTATCAATCGACAGCGAAATCATCAGCACCATCATCTCAATGACCATCATCATCGTGACCCTCATCATCATCATCATCATCATCATCACAACCATCATCATCATCATCATCATCATCATCATCATCATCATCATCACCATCATCGTTCTCATCGGAATCCTCTTCATCATCACCCGCAGCATCACATCACCATCATCATCATCATCATCATCAGCATCACCACCATCATCAGCATCATCATCATTATCAGCACCAGCATAATCATCAATCTCTCGATCATCATCATCAACATCTTCATCGTTATCATCATTATCATTATCAGCATCGTCATAATCATCATCACCGCCATCACGATCATTGTCATCGTCATCGTCGTCGTCATCATCGTCGTCCTCGGCCACCGCAATCATCATCACCAGCAGCATCACTCAGCAGCAGCAACAGCCTCATCATGACCGCGGCCTGAGCCTCCGAAGGGGAAGGCGGAGCGGAAGGAGGAGGAGGAGGAGGAGGAGGAGGAGGAGAAGGAGGAGGAGGAGGAGTAGTATCAGCACGGAGATGGAGGGACGAAAGACCAGCCCCACACTCTTCCTCTTACCGCCTCCTTCCTCCTCCTCGCCATCTCCCCCCCCATCCTCCCCTCCTCCTCCTTCTCCTCCCCCTCCTCCTCCTTCTCAGTCTTAGTCTCCTTCGTACAGGGCGCGATCACAAGCTATAGTGCAGAGTAGGTTAGCATGATCAGCATCAGCATCATCATTAGCAGCATCATCATCATCACCAGCAGCATCAGCATCTGCATCAGCATCAGCATCAGCATCAGCAGCAGCAGCATCATCATCATCATCATCATCATCATCATCATCATCATCATTACCGCCATCATCATCATCATCATCATCATCATCATCATCAGCATCATCATCATCATCATCATCATGGTCATCACCATCATCATCATCATCGTCATCATCATCATCCGCCTAGCCATCATCATCCGCCTAGTCATCATCGGCGGCATCATCTGCAGCAGCATCGTTATCTACCAAACCATCATCACCATCATCATTACCATCCACGTCTTCCTCCTCATCCTCCTCGTCATGAGCAGCAGCGTCAGCATTATCATCAGCACAATCAGCATCGGCGGCATCCTCATCATCGAAATCACCGCCAACATCATCATCAGCAGCAGCATGATCATCATCATCAACAACATCATCATCATCATCATCCTCGTCAGCAGCATCAGCATCAGCATAACCAGCATCATCATCATCGCCATCATCATCATCATCATCATCATCATCGTCATCATTATCATTATCATCTTCATCCTGACTCTGATTATCATCATCAGCCTCCATCATCCATCGTCCTGCACGAGTATCCCCATTAGCATGATCATAATCACCACCATCAGCAGCAGCCTCAGCATCAACATCATGTATATCTGCTGTAACTGCTCTCTCTTCTTGGGCGACCGAGTTGTCTGGGATAACTCGGGCCCGGGATAACTCGGGCTTGGATTCCCGATCAACGAACCCGAGTTAGCCCTGACCCGAGTGACCCCTGATGATTTGGGGCTCTGGACGCCCGAATTATCCGGGGTACCTCGGGCCTGGGGTACTTCGGGTTTGGATTCCGGAAAAACGAACCCGAGTAAGCCCTGACCCGAGTCACCCCATAATGATTCGGGGCTCTGACCTTCTCTGCCTCCAACTTCGCGTGATCCTCTGCTCCTCTTCCTTCTCATCATTTCTTATTCTCCTCCTCCTCCTCCTTCTCCTCCGCCTCCTCCTCCTCATCCTCCGCCTCCTCCTTATTGTCATCATCCGCAGCATCATCACCACCAACATCAGCAGCAGCATTGTCATTCTTCCCCAGTCTCCACCGCCACTCACGCGTACGCCTGCTTCTACTACAGATTGCATCTTCTCTCCTCCCACTCTTCCCTCCCCAACATTCCCCAATCCCCATACGGCAGGTTCGTGTCGTGCCGACCCCAGCGTTGGTTTTTGACACCGCAGGGATCGTTCAACCTTGAACGATCGGCCGCTGCCGCAACGTCCGATCGTTCAACATCGATCGATTCTGGGTCGCCGGCGGCGTTCAACCTTGAACGCCCGCGCTGGGGTCGCCGCTGGTCGGCACGACGCAAACCTACCGTACGCCGCCTCCCCGCTATTGGTTCGCCTGCCTCGTTCCTTCTGGAGGAGGATAGGGGAGCCGAGGAGGGGCAGGGTGGGCGCCCATGGGCCGAAACCTGGGACTCTGGCGGCCGCTCGGGACGATTCCGGTCCCCCAGAGCGCCCTCGACGAAACGCAGCCGCTGGACAGCAGCCCGAGGCTGCTGTCAAAACGGACGAGAAGCGAGGTGATCGCCAGAACAATTCGAACTTCGAACCTGACGTTGCCCCTCTCCCGGGGCCAGGGGGGAGAGAACACGTGACGGACGGTGGGAAGGACCAAAAGGGCAGACTCCTGGTAAGCCCTCCCCCGCGAGAGAAGCGGAGCGTGTCGCTCTCGACGCAGACCTCCACGTGGAAATGCCCCTCCCCGCGGTTCTCGGCCAACGCCACCTCAGAAGAAAGGCGGCGCCACATCCTCCTTCTCCTCCTCCTAATCATCATCATCATCATCATCATCATCATCATCATCATCATCATCATCATCATCCTCATCATCCTCATCATCATCCACATCCTCATCATCATCATCATCATCATCAGCATCAGCATCAGCATCAGCATCAGCATCATCATCATCATCTTCATCATCTTCATCATCTCTTCCTCCTCGTCCAATCACCACCACCACCATCATCATCATCATCACCATCACCATCACCATCACCATCACTATCATCACCATCAGCGTCATAATCGGCATCCTCATCATACTCATCATCAACATCGTCATCATCACCATAATCCTGACCATCATCATCATCATTGTCATCATCATCACCATCACAATCATCATCAGAAGCATCATCATTCTAATCATCACTATCATCACCATGATCACCACCACCAGCACCACCACCATCACCATCATCATCATCATCACCATCATCATCATCATCAAAACCATCATCGCCACCATCACCGTCACCATCACCTTTACCATCCTCACCATCATCATCATCATTATCATCATCAGCATCATCGTCATCATTACCAGCATCATCATCATCAGCAGCATCATCATCATAACAACCATCAGTATCATCATTCTCATCGTCATCAGCATCATCACCATCCTCATCATCATCACCACCGCCATCATCGTTGTCAACACACTCCACGTCTTTCCTCATCAACCTCCTCGTTATCAGCAGCAGCGTCAGCGTCATCATCAGCACAACCAGCTTCGCCATGACCATCATTATCAGCAGCAGCATCATCACCACCACCAGCATCAGCATCATCATCAGCATCATCATCAGCCTCGTCATCATCATCATCCTCATCCTCATCACCATCATCATCAGCAGCATCATTACCACCACCACCATCATCATCACCAGCACCACCATCATCAGACGCAACATTATCATCATCATACTCATCCGCATAATAATCAATATCATCACCATCATCATCATCATCATCGTCATCATCACCATCATTATAAGCGCCATGATCATCATAATCAGCAGCAGCATTATAACCAGCCTCAGCAACAGCAGCAGCGGCAGCGGCAACATCAACATCATCAACATCACCGCCATCGTCAGCATCGTCAACATCAGCATCAATATCGTCATCATCAGACCATCAACATCATTATCATCACCACCACCATCATCATGTGCATCGTCGTCGCCGTGATCATCGCCATCGTCATTGTCATCGTCACCACCATCGACGTCGTCGTCAGCATCAACACCATCCTCGTCAACATCACCACGAAGGTAACCTCCACCATTCATCATCTTCGTAATCCACATCCGCCCCTACAACTCCTCTTCCGCCATCTCCTCCTGGTCCTCCACATTATCCTCCTTCTCCTCCTCCTACTCCTTATCCTCCTCGTGCTCCTTTTCCTCGCCGTCCTCCCCCTCATGCACTTCCTCCTCCTCCTCCTCCTCCACAGCATCATCATCATCATCATCATCATCATCATCATCATCATCATCATCATCATCCTCTGTGTCCTTCAACCCGTCGTTTTCCTCCTAGTCATAATCGCGTTCGCCCCACCCCCCCTTTCATAAACGTCGAAAACACACCGTGCTAAGAACACGACGAACAAACTCGCATACCAACGGCTGAAGAGACGACGCAAGAGATGAGTCCGAAGAGACGGAGGAGGGGAAGGCAAATGCCCGAGGCTATCCCTGGCGTGCAATACGACCTGACGACCTGATCCCAAACATGTCGTTTGCAGTGCGCTGCTTGCATACCATCCTGCGCGAGCTCAAGAAACACACGATTACAGATCGCCCCGCATCATCAACCTGGTCCTCCTCCTCCTCGACGGACCTCAGTGCGGACCACAGGTGCGCATGGCCAAGCTACGATCAGCCGGCGCACACAAAGACTGGACTCCCACCTCGCTGGGCCAACTCGGAGGGAGCAGCAGACATGGAAGAGCAGGGAGGGAAAGGGGATACATACATGGTGCAAAAGGGAAAGGATTTGTCTTATGTCATGTGACCGATACAGCCTAGCATGCGAGTGGTATCTTCATCCTTCTCCCCTAGTTCAGGGGTCCTTTTGTGAGGATCTTCGGGGCGAGATGATCTGCGGCGCTGAGCGACGACATGGCGGCACGCGAGCGTTCCTTTTAGCTTGCAACGAAACGCCAGCAGCGCTCCGTCAGCTACATCAGCCAAAGGCGCGCAGCGGCACGCGCATGGAAAGTTAAAAAACGGGCGGAGGCAGCAAAGGTAACGACTGGGAACGCGGGTCCTGGAAGCAAGCCCATGAGATGCATCATTATGCTCGTCCTCCTCCTCGGCGCAGCCTGGCGCCAGCATGAGTCTGCCTGCGCGCATCTAGCGGGGCGGGCGGCGCTATCCCCATTGATCGGGCGCCGCTCGCACCCCCGCCCCGCTTGCTCGAGACGACGGGGCCTCGCCTGCCCCGATCAGCTCCCCCGCCCGAGAAGGATGGACATGAAAGTGCCAGGCCTCATTGGCAGCATAGCGTGCAAGAGCACGCGCCGCGGGGCCCTGGGAGCGGCCTGCCAAGACAATCGGAGCTGAGCCTCGGGGAAATCGCTGCTCCTCCATGCCCATACGCAACGCACCAGGACCCGTCCAAAGGCTTGGAAAAATGTACCATGTGCCGACTGCCTCCCGCGAGCTCGCCCCTGACCGCGGCAGCGTCAGCCCTGGCCAGCACGGGAGGAGCGCCGGTGGGAGGAGGCGGGTCGACGCCAATTTAGGACCGACGCTCCCTCGGCGCACGCAAGCGGGGCGGCGCATGGAGCAATCTACGCATGAGAGGCATGCGCCTGCCTGAGCGCACCGCAGAGCCTATTTTTTTTTGAGCGCCTGAGCCTCGCGCCCGCGGGCTCCTCGGAGCTCAAGAGCGACGCGAGTTCGGTCAGCAGAACACTTAGCCCAGGAGTCTGCCTCATCATTTCCCAGCTTGAGATGCAAGGTGGCGCCGACGTGATTCCGCGAGTGAGTCCCGCTGCAAACTGCTGCGAGCGGCGCGGCTCGAACCTTGACCAGCGAAGCCCCCCCGCCCCACCCCAATCGCGAATTCGAATCCAAACCTTCTGCTACAACTCGGACCCGGTACTCTTGCTGCTGCAGCAGGCCTGCCCACCCCGAACTGTGACCCCAGAGAGACAACATCGGACAGTGTATAGAATCGTGCCAAGCGTGCTTCGCAGTAGACCTCGCAGAAACGCCGCGAGCTCAGCCGCTTCGATGTCAATGATAATGCGCGCGAGGACACCGCGCATGAGAGACGCAGCGCGATGGCGACGACAACAGCAACAATAATCCAGCCTGCCGCCTGAGCCTGGGCGGGCAAGTTCTGGTCCAACCAAGGGTCGCCGAGGAAGACGTGGCCCTCCATCCCTCAGGGCCCGCCCGCGAACCGCGCATCGGGGGCGGTGGGGGGGGGGGCGGGGCTCTGGCAAGCTGAGTGAGATAGCTGGGAATATGCCCTGCGCTCGCGCACTCACCATGCACCGCGCGCGAAAGATGCCTGCGCGCCGGCGTGCCGGGCGCGCTCGCGCGCGCGACAATGGGCATGGTCCGCAAATTCGCGCTCCCACTGCAGACTTCATATATCCACGCCCGAGAAGCATAAGACCCCTGCCATTCGAAAGCTTCACGAGCGGAGCAAGGTCACTCCCACGCAGGAGCTCAGGGAAAGCCTCGCGGGCCGCCACGTTTGCCCAGAGCCGGCAATCATCGACGCGCGCCAGCCACATGACCACAGACCTGGGTCCGAAATCACTCACAGAAATCCCACCACGAAAAAAATGCCTCCAGACGAAGCCCTGCGAGACAAATCCTATCCTGAGGGCCGCGGCAGCACGCGCATGAAGAAAAAAAAAAAAAAAAAAAAAAAAACTCGGGCGCTAGCCACTAGCCCGGGGGCCGCCGCCATGCTGTAGACGCTCCGCAGACCGCGCGAGACCTTGCTCCAGCAGCCTGCGCGGCAAAAGCGAATCCCAAACAGCGGTGGCAAATATGCCGAGGGGCTCGATGTTGAGACGATGGGCGGCGTCACATTTAGGCGCCTCGGCCAGCGCTAGCAAAAAGCATGGCACTGCGACCTGACAAACTTTGAATTTGCACGCGCGCCTGAAGCGCTCGAGCCACACGCAGATCTGCGCAGTTGGCGCCATGCACGGTGGCCCCAAATGTGGGGGGGGCTAGGCAGTCAGTCTACGCCGTATCATGTAGGCGACGCTTCTGAATGACCTTGAAGAAACACTGAGCTTGCGAGCCCGCGCCGCAGCAGGCCCCCCCCGAGCCCTTCGAGCCCCCCAAAGAAAGTCGCCTCCAGAGGCAAAATCAACGCCAACATTTCACAGGTGACACCTTTCACATTCAACCTACGGGTTCGCTTCGCAATCCAATCCTGGAGCCCATGGGGCGACGCGACGGCGCGACCTTTCTCGCGGCGAACGACAGGGTGCACGCCTCGCAGCTCATACCGAAGCTTGCCGGTGGCCCCCCACCAGGTCTCGCTCTACATCCTGCTTGCGACCGATGCGCTGCATGGCAATGTCATCGACAACTAGACCGAGGGTGGCGAGAGGGCGCGCGTCCCTGGCCGCATCAACTGGGGCTGACAAAATAAGCTGCAGCATAAGCGTTGCAAAATGGCAGCCAGACAACGCGGTCTGCTGCGCCTCCAAAGGCGCCGAAACTGAACGTCAGTAACTCAACGCCCTGGGCGAGCGATAGAGCTCGACAAGAAGCGTCAACTGGCGGAGGGGGGAAAAAACCGCGCACTGCGCGGTGGTGACAAGTTCCGAGTGACGCACATGACCAGGGCCTTCCGAAGGTCTAAGAGCACCACACCAGGGGCCAGCCGCTTGCCTCGCGCCCATTCAGCACCTGCAGCCTGGACCAAGACCAGCTCATCAAGACTGCGCCCCCTGGCGGGCCGCCGGCGGGGCCTGGGGCGACCCCCCTGCCGCCTCCCCTAGGGATTCGCCCCCCTGCCGCCTAGACATCAGCGGATGGCGAAAACTGGGAGTTGCATTCCCTGAATGCAAGCCAGAAGATGGACGAGAACGAGAACGAGGGCAACCAGGGGCCCCCCGCCTTTCCTTTGCCCCCCCCCTCCCCCCCCCCCCCCCCCCCCCCCCCCTCCCCCCCCCCCCCCCCCCCCCCCCCCCCCCCCCCCCCCCCCCCCCCCCCCCTTACGCTCAACGAGGAAAACTACTCTAATCCGCCTGGGCCAGCAGCGTGCAACTTCGATCTCCTCGACGAGGTCAAGAAATAACTCGAGGCCCGCATCGGGCAGGGACAGAAGCTGGCGAGGTGCGATCTGGTCGATGCCGCGCCCTGAGTTATTTGGACAACTACGCATGGAATCTGTCAGGCCCTGAAACGGAGAAAGGGGGGCCCAAGTTCCCAGGCGCAAAGATAGGACCCCCCCCCCCCCCCCCCCCCCCCCCACCCCCCCCCCCCCCCCCCCCCCCCCCCCCCCCCCCCCCCCCCCCCCCCCCCCCCCCACCCCCCCCCCCCCCCCCCGCCCCCCCCCCCCCCCCCCCCCCCCCCCCCCCCCCCCCCCCCCCACCCTCCCCCCCCCCCCCCCCCCCCCCCCCCCACCCCCCCCCCCCCCCCCCCCCCCCCCCCCCCCCCCCCCCCCCGGCACCGCAACGCGCCACCAGTGGCCCCGCTCTTCCCCGAGGAGCTCCAACTCTTGATGCAGGGTGGCAGGCTGCTTCTGAATGGCGCGCTCACCCTGGGCACAAGGAGCACTAGCATGCCATGGGACAAATGGCTCACACGACCGCTAAAGCTGTGCCCCTTAGCCCAGGAACGCCAACCATATTCCTAGGATGTTTCTGCATTGCGAAACTCCGCGTCGGCGAAATGTTTTGCGGCAGCCGCGGCCCAAGGAACGCGCCTGTCTCAGCAGAAGAGCCCAAGCCAGAATTTGGCCGCAATCGAATCCACACCTGCAGAAACAACGCGCGCCTGGGCCCAGCGAGCGAGACGCGCCGCGGAGGCTCGCAAAGGAGCCGACTGCCAGCGACCGAGACCAAGGAGACGCCGAGCCAAGAGACGCCACCAGAGGGAACGAGTCGAGACCCTAGGACAGGCAAGAACACTGGGCAGGCTGGCTTATTGCACGCAAGAAATGGCCCCTCACCGCGCCCGGAGAACTCGGGCGACTCGGTGGGCGAGATGCCGCAGACGTCGGCGAGGTCGAGCTCGGCCGCCGAGATCCAGCACCGCCACTCGGCATCTCTGACGGCGCCCATCATGTCCAGCTCTGCATCGACCCAGAACTGCGCAGGGGCCTGCGACCTGCGCCCAGGGGGCACCTCGACTTGGAATCTCATGGGAACGCGAGCCACTCTGCAGCCGAATTCGCATTGACTGGTGCGCGGGGGGCTGCGTCCGCATCTGCGATGACCTGCACGGCGGCCCCGTGCTGCAACTGCAAGAGACAACGAGGTAGCCCAGCATCTTTTCACCAGATTCCGACGCATTGGTGCATGTCGCTGAAGGCGGCGCCAGCGCTACTCCATGGACAGCCTAGCCTCTGGCCAGCCTGAACCGCACAAAATTTCAAGGGGCCATGTGCGGCACGTTGGCGACCTCGAGCACAGCGCCTACAGCTTCGAGGATATTCTAATTCCTCGATGAAAGCTGCTCTCCATTATGCGAATAGACAGCGACCCGCAGAAAACCTCCTGGTACAACTCCAGGGGCGCGCAGCGCCGCGGCGCGACCCTCCGACGATGGGCGGCGGGGCCAGCTCGAGCGGCGCTAGCCCCTGCGACTGCGGCACCATCTGGAGCATGCCCCCGCTGGTACCTTATCCTTCGCCAGTGCTGACTGCAGGTCCCATCCTGCCACGCCGACCTGATTTGCGCAACTCCCTCTCCTAAGCAGCGCGCGAATCAATGTGATGGTGCTCCTGCATTGCAACAGAACACGACTGCTTAACCACCTGATGCTGCTCCAAGGGTTGTATTGAAGCCTCGGGATCCTCGACCTCACGGTCGTCGTTTTCCCGAAATTTTTGGGCGCATGGTTCCGAACGTCCTTGAAAATGTCGGCCATGATCTCATACTTGACACCGTGCTTCTGCATGACCTGCTCCATCTCTGGGGAGACCTTGCCCTGCTGTGCCTGGCCCAGGTAAACGTCTAACTCATCCTGAGTCTGACCTTGGGCAGCGAGCTCTGCTTGAACTGCTGCAGCACAGACGTCGTCGGCAGGGGCTCCCGCGTCTGCTGCATGGCCCGCATCGACCTCCATGCCAGGGCCTGCCGCTGGAGGCGCCTCAGGCTGTGATCCTGGTGCGGCGGCCCCTGCGCTCGCGCGAGGAACGGGAGGGGCCTCCCCAGCAGGAGCAGCAGGCTCGCGAGCACCTCCAGCCGCGGGCGCCACCTCCAGCGGCGCGGGGACGAGTTGCTCGAGCGCATCCGCGACCAGCGCGACCTTGCCATCGCCCTGGACATTGGCGAGGGATGCGACCAGGAACTTGAGCTGCGCTCGACTGGGCCGACGGGCGACACAGCCGCTTGACCCATGGCGGCGAAGGCAGCTGCGGCCTTGGCCGAAGTGGTTCGTGCAGCGGCCTCCGCCTCGACAGGGTCTGCCTTGCACTGCGCCGCATGCGCCGCTGCCTTGACAACTGCCTCACTAGTTCGATCATGCGCGCGCTGTGTCCTGGCTCGTTTATCCTCGCAATACTCTTCATCCAAACGAAATGCTTTGGCGGAAGCACGTGGCTCCCCGCAGAGAAGGGAACGTTGGGCAGCCACACGACTGAGCTGCTTAGCGGGCCATCCTTCCGAGAGACGATTGAAATCCGATGACTCCATCTTGGCGTAGATCTGAGCCGGGTCCTCAAACAAGAAAACATCATTCCCGCGCCAGTGGGCCCTTGGCCCTCTCACCCGAATCACGCCTGCCACCGCCAGGAGCACGGTCAGGCTGACGCCCAGCAGAGCGACCACAGCGGAAACAACTCGCACGCCAACTGGAATTATACTGGTGCCCGCATTTCTTGCGACAGCAAACCCACACAGAGAAGCCAGGCCCACGCCGAGAAAAAGAGCCTGCAACCATCTGGAGCGAGAGTATTTGCAGAGAGCGTGACTTTCCCTTACACCCACCCTGGCGCACGGGTGTAACTCTGGCGGGCGAGCGCCACGAAGCACGTGGGGGCCGCAAGATCCCCAGCGCCGAAAACTCAATATCCTTTGAGCACAACGCTACGGACTTGAGCCAGAAAGGCTATGGACGTTCCTCCTCCTCCTCGTCCTCCTCATCCTCCCCCTTCTCCTCCTCCTCCTCCTCCTCCTCCTCCTCCTCCTCCTCCTCCTCCTCCTCATCCTCATCCTCATCCTCATCCTTCTTTTC